TTACATCACATTTAAGTTGGATCAGAATCTAGCCCCAAACTTAAGACTACTTGGTGTAGTTTTAGTAATTACTCTGCTCAGTTAGCTAAGAGAAATGTTTTTTACTTCCACTGTCAATTTATTCCACAACTGAAATGTATACAAGGTAGAGCAGTATCAGGTTCTTGGAAAGAAATCAGAGCTTTTAATGTAACACTTTAATTTATGCTGTTTAGAAAGATATACCATGTAAAATATTAGGAAAAACATTTATAATTGTTGACCTCAAATTTATGTCCCAATCATTGTGTTGTTTGAGCATATATTTAGTTTTATATGTTGTCAGTAGTTCCAGTTCCTGGATAGGGCTACTTAAGTCTAACAAACAAAAAAGCAAAAGCAAAAAAAAAAAAAACAAAAAACAACAACAACAAAAAATAAAACAACCAACAAAAAACACTTTTGTACCTGAGCATTACAGGTAGTAAAATGCTTTAAAGACCACTTTGTTGGGATACCTAAAAGGTAGAATAGATCCAAAGTTCCCACTAAATCACTGCAGCATTGTTCCAGGTAGCCACTCTCCTATCTTACAAATAGCATTTAGTATGTGTACATTATGAGTCTAAATCATTGACAGCAAAAGTGTTGAGTAATGGAGCTAAAGCAACAGAAAATTGTTGACATGTCAAATAAATTATTCACACAGCACAGTGGTACCCCTTCTTAAGGTCCTATCCTTCCATTTGCATGAACTCCAAACAGCTCTTGAGCCTGAAGTCCTTTATTAGGATCTGTGATTTAAAAGCCACCACCTTACAAAAAAGAAAAAAAGCTTATCTACTGAAATGCTGTTCCATCTCCACTATTAAGTCATGCATCCTCATGAGGAGGTCAATAAACAGAGCATCCCATTGTGGTCCAAGTACCCCATTTAGATGTGGCTGCTCCTCAAATAACTCCCTCTGCATATGTGAAAAATGGATTTAGTTGCACTTCTCTATTTGCTGGGAGAGGGGAAGCTATTATTCTATTAGCCCCACAGTAACAAGAAACATGACAGTGTCACTTGTAAACTTATCAGGTACACTATGGATGCTCCAGTTAGGACAGGAGTGTGCATCTATGCAAACTGAAGAGTTTAACCCCTGAGTTCCTCCATTAAATGCTAAATGGCTAACTCAAGACAGTGTGACACTTAACCAGCTTCAGAAAATGGGAAGAAAGTTCACGAATTACAATCTACTTGTTATCAAGCTTAACAAAATTATTCCATTCAAAAGGTTTGTTTGAGTCTGACCTGTTTTTTTCACGTTTCCCACTCTTGTAACAAACAGCTGAGGTTGAAGCTCATTCTAACAGTGTTTAGAAGCCTGTTTTTGAAGAATATTTTTCGGTAACATTCTTCATCTCCAAAATTGGATAGGTCTTTAAAAATAAACTTCATAAGAATACAGTGAAAAGGAAATAGTGCAGAAGCATAAAAATAGATTCAGGAGCCCAATAACAACCTATAAATCATTCATTTCCATCACATACTGACTTGCAACAACACTTCTGCTTTTACTAAAGAAAGGAGTTCAGAATGCTTCAGGACAGGTTTGTTCCTTCCAACCTGAAAGCAATTTAACTTGGTCCCAAGACAAGGAAATCACAGGAGACCATAGTGTAAGTCATCTTTCTTAGCTTAGACTTGAACACTATCTCACTGGGGCTGACAAAAGGGATGAAGGAGACTGTCCAAGTCCCTTGTGAACTCAAGGCAGGTCTCAAACAAGCTTGGGTCCTACTCATGTGATAACAACTGCAGATCTGCACTCCTCCTTATGGAAATATATTTGTTTGTATCAGAAAGATATATGCTACAAGAAGAAAAAGAGTTAAAATGGGGGAATAGATAAAAAATGAGTACAACGGCATGGCTAAAATGGTATCAGGTGATAGAGGAGCACACACTTCATCTGCAGGCACTACAAAAGTTGTCTGCTCCCTCCTACCTACACCAACCCAGTAAATTAGCTTCACACAAGGAATTTTGGTTGGATTTAAATGCTAGTCAGACTACTTAGCTAGTCTCCAAGATCCTTTTAGTGCTTAATGTAACTGATAAATTGACCAGTCATATTCACTGTGTGGATCAAAGAAGTCAATACAATTACACAAGAGACTAATTCCACAAAGCTTAATTTTATGAGTGGCAAATTTACCAGATCAGGCAAAGTCAGTTCAAACAAAAACCAATGACAACAACAACAAACTTTGAAAGCCTTTGCTTGAGCTCTGGCAACTGTGCTGCTAACAACAGAATTTCTAGCAGATTAGCAGCAACGTACAGCAAACTTTAAAAAACGTATTTTAACTGGGTAAAAAAATCTAAAACTACTGTTTAGCTGTGTAGTATTTTTTTATGTTAAGAAATAATACTTAGAGGTTATATGCTACAGACAATTGTCGTGCATTCTTTATGTACCACAGATTTGCAGTAAACCTGGGATTGTGTGATCTCTGGTAATACAGTGCTGATTAGACAGTATACATAGAGAAAAATCAGATTTATAAGAAGACATAAGAAGATTTGAGATTATCCTTTCAGACCTAGAACTAAAAATTTTAAGGAGAAGGGCTGTATTACATATCAGGTTGACATAACAGTCACATTTGCTTCTAGTGACCTTCTGTGCAGCAAGATACAAGAACAGAAATCCTCCTCTAGTCATTGAAGGGACTGCATGATAGCTAAGTCCTTTTAACATATCTGTGAGCTCTCCCTCCTGGAAGAGCAAAGAATCAAGTCTTAGCATAGGCATGACTCGAGAAAACATAACAGAAAAATAACAGTTCCAGACGTTATCATCATTGTCACTGTCACACATACAATATTAATGCATAACCCTTCAAAACAATAGATTGCTCCCCTGAGTGCTTTTAAGATCCCCAAACCTGTAAGCAGACTACCACATCTATCTCAGAGATAATAATTTAGCAACAGAATAGAACTCACATCTCAGTTTACCTAGTTTTAAATTTGGGTGAATCTGCATGTGGTCTATTTTTGCTGTTGTGAAGTCTTGTATGTTTGTTTTAAAATATTTTCTCCAAAACATTTGTGTAAATGTTGAAGTACAATACAAGACGGACACACAGCAATTCTGACCATGAATCAAAACCAATATTTTAAACCTCCATCTTTACTACCTGAGAAAACTACTATTTCTCCTTGTGTTTTAATCAGATCTTATAAATAAATCTAGTATTAAACTATTATGCAATTTATTTTCCTACAGACTCAAGTAAAACTTCACTGTCTCCAAAAGCAATATTTATTACCACTCCCGGAGTGCTCAAGATGCTATATTAAACGGCATGCTGTACCACCAAGAAGATTAACTAGATAAATTAATGTAGAAAGAGAACCACATGCTACTATAAGCATACTTTTTCTTGTTCCTGACTCTTACTAGCGGTGAACAGAGTGACGTATAATAAACTCTTCAGGAGCACATCCATCCTTTTAAGTAGAACTGGGAGCTAGCAGAACAACACAGCCAGAAGACTGAAAACAATAATGATGTATGGTAGGAGAGCAAAGAAGAGGAAGAAAAATGGAAGTGGGTGGACAGCAACTGAGGAGTGATATCAAATGGATTGGGTGGGAAGGCAAAAAGAGCAAACGAATAAGGAAGGAGACAAATGAGATGTGAAAAGAAGACAGAAGACAAAATTACCAAGAGTTAGTCTAAAACAGTAGCTCTTAAATCATGGCTCAGTCAAAGGAAATTACAAAGTCAGCCTGACAGGAAGAGTAAATTACGATGTTGCTGTCAGCGTCTTAAGTTCTCGGTGTTGTCAAGAGAGCTAGCCATGACTGAGAATTACTGGCCTACCATATGGCCAGTACAAGTGCTGTAATGACTTTGTTAGCCAAGTGTCTAATGAACAGGAGGAGGAATGCAGCAGCTAGTGAGGACAGAGAAACCAGCAAAGGGAGGAAAGGAGAATTACTCGTGAGCTCAGCTGGAAGCCAGATCAGGCCCTTATTAATTAGTCAGCACACTAAGATAACTACCACACAAGTCACACAATCCGACATGCTAAGATAGCTGAAAAGCATTCCGCTAAACAGAGCCCCAAAGCCTTTTCATTTAGGTGAGCTCCTATGCAAAAATACATAAGTTACATAAAAATAGCATCTATGGTGGACATGAAAGCTTCATCCAGCATTCTTCAAAAAATCCTGAAATTGTAGCTGATTAAGAACAAAATCTCTATATGCAATGAGAGGATAACAGCGATAGTGAGGGAAATTCTCTGAGGTACAACTGCAATGTTTTAGCATATTTTAATTTGTTAGAGACGTTATTCACAGAAGGGAATGTGCTGTCCAGATAACCTGTAATATCTTGGTCTGTATCATCCATCCAAGCAAAATCAATACATAAAGGGAAAGAAAGCTTCATAAAGATACCTGTCCCCTTTGACCCTCATCAAAACATGACTAAATATAGAAGAAATTGCAGATATGTACAGACACAACCTCTTCCTCTCCTCCAAGTTAATCCAATCTCCAAAAGTGAAAGTAAAAATTAAATAAAGCTTAACGAGATTTTGCCATTGAATACGGTGGAGCACTAGTCTTCCATGATGTTGACTTATACTGCATGCAGGGGGAGAAAGTCATCTGCCAGACACTTATACACCACACTGAATCCAGAGTCAAGAATGAGGCAAATACTTTTTTATGACTGCTCTGTAGAGAGAGCTGCACACCTCCAGGGTGCTGTCCCTGAGGCAATCTGAAATAGAATCTGTTGTTTTATAGCCCTGAGCAGGAAATACAATTCTGTTGGGATGGGCCCAGATGGAGAAGACCTGCTGGGACACGTCAAGAACTTTGTTCACTGTCTCCTCTACTAGTGTTGGGAGGGTGCTCAGAGGGAGCCTGGGAGAAGGTTAAAGTCCTAGTTTTGCTGAGAAACACTACCAAAAAAAAAGGAAAATAATTTTATAAATTGAAATCATACCGTGACTGTCTCTTCTGTACTTTTTTCTCTTTGTATAGGAGCAACTGGAAATTCAAGGAGGGATTTTACTGTCTTCCTTTTGGCTCTTTCCATTTGAATATTAGTAAAATAGTTGACAGCAGCAAACTCGATAAGAGCAGAGAACACAAAGGCAAAGCAGACCGCTATGAACCAGTCCATGGCAGTAGCATAGGATACTTTTGGCAGTGAGTGTCTTGCACTGATGCTCAGTGTCGTCATTGTCAACACTGTGGTTATTCCTTCAAAGAAACAGAAAAAAATCACTGTTGAATCCAAGAAAACCAAAGAGAACAAAAACAGGCAAACAGCTTCAAACAAAGAATCTTAAAGCACTTAGGAATCATTTAAATTAATTCACATCTGCAAAACCCATTATCATGAACAAAAATGTAGTTACATTGTAAGATATTATAACAGAAGTAACTGCAGTGTTCCACTCATGATCTCAACAGTAAATGGAAGAAAATACATATCTATGTTCGGTTAAAAAATAGTATTATTTTTAATTATAGTAATATAGAGATTTTCACATTTAAATCAATACAGGAAACATCGTGTAAGATATGTATCTATGTTTTCTCAGCACTGCAAAATGATGTACCATGTAATTCTACTGCCATAAGCATGATACAGATGTTGCTGTCAGACAGTGCACCCTGTATTTGCTTAATAAAGCAGTTTTAAGAAACTCCAAGGTCCTGCACTCAGAGATTCACCTTCCGTAAAAATGAACTTCTGTGTAACACAGAAGAAATAATTCACAAGTGGAGCATCACAGAATCACAGAATTTCTAGGTTGGAAGAGACCTCAAGATCATCGAGTCCAACCTCTGAACTAACGCTAACAGTCCCCACTAAACCATATCCCTAAGCTCTACATCTAAACGTCTTTTAAAAGACTTCCAGGGATGGTGACTCCACCACCTCCCTGGGCAGCCTGTTCCAGTGTCTAACAACCCTTTCAGTAAAGAAGTTCTTCCTAACGTCTAACCTAAAACTCCCCTGGCGCAACTTAAGCCCATTCCCCCTCGTCCTGTCACCAGTAAAGACAACCAGAGTAAAGACAACTCATTTCTCAGCTGGATTAAGAAAACAGGGCTGAATCTTTCTTTGCTACTTGTGAATACTGCATTAGATTTAAGTTACCGTAACTACCACATGCGTATGAATAGTAATTATACATGCACAGCAGTTAACCAGCATGGAAAGCCATGACTTTGTGACTTCAGTAGAACATCTACAGCTTACAAGCAGAAAATGTGGAAGCCTTAATTTCATATTTATTTTTTTCATTGTTTACAATTTCCATCAACAATTTATTTTCTAAATATTTGAATATAATTTATTTAATAGAGGAACACTGTGCTCCTCAGACTGCAACAAGAATATTTTTCCTGTAATGGTTTTAGAAAGCTAACGATTACCCTGTGTCTGGTCTTCTGATCCCACTTGCAATCAAGATGCCATTAAATCATGGCAAATTATTTTGGTGCTAAGGAAAACTATAATGTTCTGTGAACAACTCTGTTAATTAGCAAGCCATCACCTTATCTTTTAAACCCTTCTGCTACTACTCAACCGATGAAATTTAATTAGGATTTCATCTTCTGAAAGAGCAACTTCAATTAAAGTGTACATGCATGAACACTGAGCTCAAATATGACCACTTCATGATAATACTTCAAGTGAAAATACCAGCTATATACAACCAATGTTTTTTTTCTTTCATCCAAAATATTCCAAGAATAGTTAAAACATCAATAATTCTTTATCTTTCAAATATAAAATACCATGTAAAGAATGAACACTGCTCAAGTCCTACCATGATAACCACAAGGACAACTGAATGCAAATGTATATACATCTTTACTCTTACGAAAAGAAAATTTGTACCCATTTTAATTCAAAAGGAAATGCATATACTGAGAAAAATTCAAAATAATTAAGAGCCTGTTTTCCAACAGGATCTTCACACACCCTCTTTCCTAAATGGGCATATCCCATCTGGGGAACCTAATATGAAAAAGCTTCATATATATACTGCCACACAGAGAACAGGACACAATTAAAACAGTCTCTCCCATTAAAAAAAAAAAAAAAAAAAAAAGACAAGAAAAGAGCAGCAGTTAGTTCATAAATGCATAAAGAATATCTCAGAGCAAACTCAGCAGGATAAAAAACACAGATGCGAGCTCACAAAACCTTCTTCAGTGGGAAGGTGTTGAAAAACACACCACTGAAAATGTTTAATGCTGAGAAAAAAATTATGGAAAGTTATTTTATCCTGGAAGAGGCACATCCCTGCTTACCCTATCCTTCCCAATTCTACTTTTGTTCTCTTTGAGCTAAAGATTATCTGAATTGTCTTTTTAAAAAGACAATTACTTAACAGATATAAGAACAGGATGAAGTGAACCAACTAGACAATGATTCACCAAATGTAAGGAGGAGAGGGCAGGCCATGACAGTGTTACACAGTTTACTGTCTCAGTCTTTATCAGTTTTTCCCCTATGAAACCATTCTGATGAAAGACTTGCAGTTATCTCTGCAACTGCCCTTGGATACATGCCATAGTTATTTATAGGGTGGCAAATTATGTTCTGGTAAATATATATATATATGCACATACACATGAACTGTAGTTATCCAGAGATAAGTACTTGCAAGCTTCTGATTAGAAATGCACATAGTTATACATGTATATAAATATATTTAAGAGTATTTTAATATAAAAAATAATTTTAAAAATCTGTTTGAGAAATAAAATTTCCTCTGTCTTTCCTCTAAGAAATACCAATCTTCCACAAATGGGTCTAAATCTCTGACTGCAGAAATCCCAATTTATGTACCTTATTAAGATTTATTTTACTATTACAGTTAAGAATTATGACAGCAGAGCATGAAGCCTTTATAAAAAGTGCAAATCACTGCTCCATGTGTAACTCCATATGCATAAACAGGTCTGGCTAATATGCAATAAAGCAATGTAACGTTCTCACAGGGTTCTCTGGTTCATAGGAAAAGTAAATCTGTTAGTAAATTGGACCCACAACTGAAGAGGCAAATTCTACCTTCCTGAGAAGCTAATATTCATTGAAGTTCAAAACATACTGGGATGTCTCTATGACGATGTTGTGTTAGTGTCACAGCTGATGTGATTTTTCAGAAAACAGGTAGCAAACAGCCAGTAGTGGTTACATAACCAGTACACAACCATACTGGTTACATAGTAGTACATAAGTTACCCCGTTTTAATGAAAACCCCTAACAAAAGCCTTAGATGAAAAAGCCTGTAAGTCTGGCAGTGAGAACAGAGAAAATGGTTTATAATGTCTAAATGGTGATGGGGAAAATACAGCATCCTTACTGAAATATGGGTCTTACAGCCATCCCTTTTGCTCCTGCATTACTGATTCTGACTGGTACAGATGAACTGGGGGTCATGACAGTTCTCCCAACTCAGCCATGCCTGTTCCTGTTCATTTGCAACACTGCTACCCAGCTTTTTTGGATTGTGGAGGTCTCAGGCTCTCACAAAAGAAACTGAAGGACATATGCTACAGCTCCTTGCCTACCTTATCACACCACTCAGTATTCACACACTGAAACTGGAAGCAGTGTGTGTCAGATGGTGGTAGTTGACCCAGACAAATGACTGAACACACATATGTGTGACTAGAATTCACTTGCACGTCTAATCCCACATCCAGTTCAGTGCTCCTCATACATCAGAATATTTCCATTTTGTTTTCTGCAATGCTGATATGACAGCAAGAGGTCACACACTATTTAAGAAAAAGTGTGCTGGAAGACAACTCCCAACGAGCTACCCCCATATGAGGGATGATCAGAAATAGCAGTTTACCACTAAGATAAACCATTCAGGTATACTACATCTGGTTTGTAAGCAAGAGACAAAGCATCCCTGTTTCCTATTCAAGCTACTTTCTGGGGGAGGAGCTTTTAAAAAGATTAGTGTTTACTGGATCCTATCTCCCAACCACGCACCGTTAACCTGTTAAACATTCAGAATATATTGTAAAACCAAGTCATTACATCTTTGTTCCACATGAAAAGCATCCATAGTGCATGATGTTCCTCATAGTGCATCTTTTCCATAGTAACAGACATCTTGACAGGCAGGAACTCCCTAGATTGTTCCTTGTCTGTCCTTCCTCCATTAACTTTGCCAAGTTCTCTCTAATCATGCAGGAAAGACCTTTTGGCTAGCCTCTTCTAACAGTTCCTCTAGAAAGTCAGTACCATAGCAGATATTCTGGCTTCATTCTTATCTCTTGCCTGCAACATTTTTATCTTCTCTTAAGAATACCTTTACAAAACAGGGTCCCTTCTGGCATTTGTCAGAAAACTAAAAAAAAATACCCATACTTTAAGCCACCTGTTTTCAAAGCCATATTAGAGACTTAAGTGTAACTTAGTATATGTCCAAAATCTATTATTATTTGTTCTCAGCTTTATATATAGATATAATGACACATATTACATATTGCTATATGATTTCTACATTTTCAATTGTCACATTTTGTCTATAAATACAGATTCTACCTTTACAGTTCGTGGCACTACTCCCTTCAAAAAGCACTACTGTTCAACATTACTGCAAAGACGTTTGAAGCAATATAGTTGTTTGCCTAATATAATGCTCAAGTTGAGAGCTACTGGAGATCTTACTAGCTTCACAGCTTGTTTTTCCTATAACTAATCATTAACTTTGTCTAATTTGTGATACCAAACAGTGTTCAGACTCTACTTACATGTCTGAATGAGCCAGCATGTAGAATAATTCTTATCACTCTTGCCAGCATCTATCTATAGCAAGGCTTTTTGTGGAACATTCTTTTCTTGATCAGTCCTGCTTTCAGCTATGCTATATTATAAAATCAAGACACTGCTCTATGAAGACTGCTTTTAAAATGTTTTTATCCTACTCCTTTGTTAGGAATCATACTTCCATTCAATTTCTTATGCTTTGTCTTCCTTAGAAGCTTTTTTATTTTTTCATTTTCAGTGTTCACTGCAGCATCACATTCAAACTCTATTTTGATGAGTTCAATTTTAATATCTTGCAATATTTTTTCCTTTTGAATTCATTTCCATAATGGCAATGGCAGACAGGAGAGAAGATCACTAAACGTGAAATTACAGTAACAGGATCTAAGCCTTGCTCATAGCAAGCTTCCACTGATGACACAGATATCTAGTTAGACATCTGCACATTTCACACATTACCAATCAAATTCTTTTAAAAGGATTTTAGAAAGCATGAGTTCAAGTAATTACACTACTGTTCACTGTAGGACAAAACTGCTCTGGATGCAGAGCAAGGACTTGACTAGATTAGCCTGGGCCAGGTCTTCCCAGATTGCTCCCCCATGCAGCTAGAATCCCCACCAACATACACACATTATTCTTCTGAATAAATATTCCAAGCTTCTTTTCCCATTCCAAGGTTTCACGTACTACAGTCTTCATATACTGATAGCAAAAATTCTTCTGAATTTACCTTACTCCCTTGCTTCTGCACTAATACAGTGGCAGTATACCCTGTACATTAAAAAGACCTATTCTAGAGAAAGTCATTAAAAGTGAAAAGCACAAATAGTTACCAAACACAGTTCTAGCTGGAACAGATTCCTTATTTATCCAAAATGAAACTTGAGAAAGGATGACGGTCATAATGCATGGGATATATGTCTGAATCATAAAATAACCCATTTTCCGTCTGAGGTGGAAGTAAACTGTCATAACAATATATTCACCTAAAAAAAAAAAAAAGAAAAAATATTTTTCTGACTGCACATAAAATTCATGTGTAGCAGAATAACTGTTTCAGACTATCAACTACGATGATTAAGATGATGATGATCACAACACTTAACATGTATAGAAAGATATCTGCCTTACAAAACAAGAACAAAGGTAAGTTTTAACCAAAAAATCCTAGAAACAACAGGTCCTTACAGTATCATTCTGAAGCTGCTTTCAAAAATACTGCATATACACAACTAACACTGGATCACTTTGCATAGCGTAAGTATGATTTAATTTTTTTTTGGCATCTGCTGAAGAAAAGAGTTTCAAGACACAAGTTATCTACCTACCACAGTATCCAGAACATTGTGGTACCCATCTGCTAAATAAAACAATTATAACAATGTTGCATATAAAATGATATGGAAGCATCTCAGCTTTTTACTATATTTATACACCAGCATCACTGTGATAAAGAGACATGCAAAAATCATTAAAAATGGCTTTAGATAAAGTATCATTTTTAATATTAAAAAAAAATAGTTATAGTTTCAGCTTAAACTGAATAAATCATCTAAACAGAAGTACTACAGAAAAAGCATTTGGGGGACAGTAAGGAAACCGGGTCATTAACTCATAATAATCAATACACTAACAGGCCAATTTCTAGTGTACTTCAAAATGCTGTTTGATCTTACAAAAAACATCCTTAAAGCAATACATCACATATATTTGCTTTATTTGTTTCATTTTGACCATCTCACAACACCCAAACTTGCTGATGTTTAGAAAATGATTCCAATTTTTAAAAATATTTTGAGAATATGCTTGCTTTATCAGCAAACTGCTCATCAGTGATACTTCACTCATTTAGGATGCCTGTAGTTGCCATTTGCCTTATTTCTTACAGCACAAATCAGCAGAAGTATCTATTGTGACTAATGCATTTGTGCCTATCCTTATCTGACTAGAGGGTTTTTATGGTTTTAATAACCCATTCTGTATGCTCTACTTTTATCCCGAGCTGTTTGTACCACCAAACAAAGGAAGTCTTTTGCACATAATGTGGATACAGTGCTGAGAAATTACTTCCTCACCCAGGCATCCTCTTGACTCTTCAAACTGCATTTTAAGCAGTGATTAAATACTCATTTTGTCCCTTGGAGTAATGATCTCATTCCAGTTTTCTGAAAGACCTTCGCAATCTACGGTAATGAATCTGCAAATGTAAATCTGAAGGACAGAAACCTAGTTCAGATTTATGTTCTCAGCCCTCAATATATACCCTATGACATTCGGTAGAATATCTTACAGGAAAGAAAGAAAAAAAGCCTAGGGCAGTATTGCAGGGTTAGTTTTACCTCAAATTAACTCTTGCTGATGAGATTCCTACCTGTAATAGATTTAATGGTTTCACTGGATACCGTATGCCCAAGCAGGTCATACTGAACTAAACTGGAAGACTCCTCAGGAACTTCCACTGACTTCTCAGGTCCTTTTGTCCAGGTATAAATCATTTCACTCTTTGGATATGCATCTACAACACAGCACCAGTTTGCATAAATAGGAAACTTCTCACACCTTACCAGGACCCCAACCCAAACCTACTGAAATTGAACAGCAAGACTGACAGTAACAACTTTAGAAAATAACCTCCACGTGAAGTTGCCCCAAAAAACCACCCTCACATGAGAATAAATTGGAGCTAAAGTCATACGTCAAGTGTCACACATAAATTAATTTCACATTTGAATGTGAAGTCTGAACACTACACTTTCTGGATCAGCCCTTACTGAGTGTGTAAAGATTATCTTTAAGTTATTTTAGAAATTTCTACCTAAAAAATTATTATTAAAATATACGGTATCTAAAAAAAGAGTATGATAAAAAGGACACATTCTGGAGACTGGGTGCAAATTTATTTACAGGAAATATGATTATACTAAAGTCAAAAGTTTAAGGGTATTTTTTGCCAGAAACCAGAGGTCAGTAAAAGATTCAGTGTAGCCCAGAAATAAGAACTCCCAAAGAAACATTCTAACATTTAACACAAAAGACATAACTTAGGGCTAGCATTCAATCCCTACACAGCCCAAACTCCTGTTAAAATTAAATTAAACCAGTCTTGAATTTGAAATTGCTATATCTTATTTAAGGTTTCACTGAAGAGGACACCAGATTAGTGTGAAGCACAATTTCTGCTGACTGATGATTCTGCCTGAAGAAATATGCTGGTGGAAAAGTCCCTACTATTGAAATTCCCCTAGTACATATCTGACACCAAAGCCAATTCTAGAAGGACCAGGTTTCCAGTCTCACCATAACTGGAAAGAAAAGCCTTATCAGAGCAATATCTTTAATATCCTCATTTTGCTTGACTGACTACCCAGCTGCATAAGCTCAATGTATGCTAAGGAACAACTCTAAGCAGCTTCCAGTCATTTCTAACTTCAAAATTAAGGTGTCAAGGAAAGCAGATTAATGTCCAGCCACTAACTACATCCCACCGTAAAGCAGCAGTGACCAGGGACACTTAGAAGAGTAACAGGATAAATAACAGAGCACATCAAGCGTCCCCAGGTGGTCACAACAATCTCTGCTGTGGATTAAAATCAGAGAATCATAACTGCCCCTCTCTGTTGCATGCAATATGTCCCAAAACGACTTCTAACAAAAGTCAGGTGTCGATTTTTTGGATAACCTTCAGACCTTGAAGCAGAAAAGGACGGTCACCTGCACTAAGACTCCTCTCATTTACTCTCACCAGTCTAAAAACTATCTAGCATAAACTTGTCACTCAGACTCCCTCATATAGGCCAGGAGATAGGTGATAAGACAAACACAACTAAGATCAAATCTTCACACTTAACATACAAGTCTATCTTAGGATGTCAGCTTGACACCACTGACTGTAGAGAAAGCCAAATAACCAGCTGCCCTAGGCACCTTTTACCTGACTGCCGTAAGTTGAGATGGATCCCACCCTCTTTGTCTTCTCCAAAGAATTTCTCACTTCACTGAGTGTTCAATTCATCCCTAGGAACCAAGAAAAACTACATATTTCAAGAAACAGTATAGCCAGAATAGGGGGGTTTAACATAATAGCTGAATCGCTGCCTGCTTTTCAGTTCTCTGTCTGGGTTTAATTTTTCAGTTCCTAAATAAAATTCTCAAGGAAATTAACAGGAGTTTCGTCTGCATAAGGATTGTGTATCAAGACTAATATTCAGAAAGTTTAGTAATTGATCAAAATCTACTTCTACTATTTAAATTCTGTAGTTACAAGAAATTTCATAATTGTAACTTACAACTCCCAAATTTGAGAGGACAAGCATGACCATCCATGGGAAAATCCACTAATCTCATGGGACACTCTGCACTTATTGTAAGCCTATAATGGAACAAATTAAATAGTCTCTGGTTGCCATTTTGTCTAGGCAGCATAACTTTTGCATACAGTAATTGTAAAAAGCTGAACAAACAAGCTAGATACCTCATTGTGTACAGGATGGTGCCATTTCTCATTATTCTGAAGAGTTTATTTGGGGCTGTCATATTATGTGCAACAGACTTTTTCCCGTTCCTGAAGAAAGTGTCAGGAGTCCACACCTTCGAAACCATCAAGTTGTTAAGCCTTAAAATTTCAATAGGGCCATCGTATTTTAATCTTTTGTCTACCCATGTTTGACGGAAGAAGACATCCATTGTATACTCCTGTATTAAATTGCAGAAAAACAAAGATCATATTTTGCATATATAAGTGTTTCCTGTAAGTAAAATAAATAAATAAGTAAATAAATAAATAGAAATCGCTTGGGAGCAAAGAAATTAGTTGTAAAGAAAATGCTAAGTCCACTACACAAACATTTCCACCAATTAAAGTGCTGTGTACGTCTTAATAGCTTAATTTCCCACATTAGTCATATCAATAAATTGCTACACATATTTAATCATTAAGAAATAATTAATCTAATTAGATTGCAGGAAGCAGGCAATTTAATTTGTAGTCAAGCATATAACTGGAAACAAAATGATCTGTGACAATAAGTGTCAACAGATTTTTAAAGAAAACAGCCAGCAGCAAAAAAAAATAATCCATGGATAAATTAAAATATCAGGACAAACAATTACCTCCACTTTAAAGCCACAAAAGGAAATTTAATTTCAACTGATCAGAAGTAAGCTTTTAAAGAACAAAAGTGAATATTTCCTTTGTCATGTCACCAAGACGTATATAATAAAATACACAGAGCTGCATAAATACATATTTATTTTTAACTACATAACTATCCCACTAACTTCCCCAGAAAAGCCATTTGGATGCTCCAAATAAAACGTGCCAACAACTGCAGAATTGCAGACACAAGTACATCATGAGAAATCACATGCGAATTAATTGACAAAGGAATGCATTTCTCATTTTGGAAAGCTTAAGCATTTCACACACCCACAAAATATGTATATATATATATATAGTGGCATTGGAAAAGGTAACACAGGAAGCCTGAAGTCCTTTCTAACTTATAGCTGCAATTCTGTGTTAAGTCAAATAATATTTTTGACTTTATTTCAAATGTTTCTGCATGTTATCAGCATTGAAACTACTTGTTTGTTCATATCTATTCATATGGGCAAGGATACATCTCTACAAGTGTAATGCATCCTAGAATTAGGTTTGCTGCCTTTTGCATGGCTGCATCATCCAGTAAGGTTCATAGTGAATCTACCAGGTCTCTCTTCTATTGTCATTTCCTGCCGGTGACTTCATAGCTTATAGTAGCAGTTTCTGTTATCAGCTTCTACGTGACACATTTTGTAAAATGAGATTTCAACTCCTTTCATTACACTGGGTACCAAAGTAATCCAGTTCTTCTAAAAAAACATTCTGATCAATCACCCCCTGTGCTGAGACTATCTCACGCTTTGCTCTTCCAGCGAGTTTTATGAATGCAGCCACATACATACCACATTGGGTCACTAATGGATACACTAACTAAAAATCATCCCAAAACCAATTCCTGGGTCCCTGGAGTTGTCTTCTAATCAATCCCTAATGACAAAAGGGAAAACATCTGCCCTAAACTCTCCTTTTGCTGGTTCATTACCTACCTTCACTTCTTGTTTTCACTCCTGCCTTTTCCAACTTAACTAATAATTTCCACGTGGCAGCATGTCAAATGCTTCACCAAAGCCTGAGAGATCATATGAAGCCATCAATTTAGAGGTGAGGATCACATTACTAGATTTACTTTGGACCAGATTGTTGCACCCCTTGTCTGCATCATACATAACAACCATTGAAGGTGTAAGATGCAGTTCAACATAAGCCATAGGTGCAGGAACCTAGTCCTTGAAAAAGTATCTTGCTGTCACATACCTCTCCCCAGCATAGAAACAAATCAGGTGCACCAGAAAGCACAGACTAGAAACACATGTGAAGGAAGCTATTGCCCTGAAACTACCTTTCCCTTAAACAAGGTAAGTACAAACATATAATGCACATATGTCTCTGTTACTTCCATGTGATTTCTTGGATGTTTTATAAAAAAAGAGAAACTGTCACATGATTTAAGGGAATACTGCTGGATTATAGAAGTTGATGAGAGTTATGCTGGATTTGACCTCAAGTGGATGCAGATGCCTTTCAGACACAAATAACAGTACGTGCAAATGTAGCATTTGTCTTCTGTGAGTATTTCATGCATGTCATTTTGACATTCAATTTCTGCAGACACTTATGAAAACTCCTATCAGTCAAACATTTACTGAAAGTGATGCTAAAAGGGGCACAAAGATTGACAAAGGGAATTCATCTGAAATGAAAATGTCAACAAGTATTTGTGAAATGATGTCATTATTATTCACCTGAGAATAACACACATTTCAAAAAGGGAAAGGCAATTTCAAAGAGATTACATATTTTCCCCACAGTATGCTTAGTGAGATGCTCCCTGCAAGGCCTCTACACCATAAAAATCTGCTTTAAATCCTGTGAAGTGATTTCTTTAAACCAGTCAAAAACCAGTGCAAGTGTGACCAGAATCAGGCCTACTGTATCTAATTATAAACTATAAATTAAGCAGCTCCTAATCCTGTCTACTTTGCATGACTGACAGAGCAGTACGGAGACATGACTTAAGCATCCACTCCTGACTGCAGTTAATGGTTTCTCAGAAACAGGAAAGGGCATTTTAATTCCAGAAATACATACCATTTCTACATCAGAAACAGGTCCAAAACTGGTGACATATATATCTGTTTTGACTTCAGTAACAGGACCTAATACATGAAAAGGAAGTGAGCAAGAAAACATGAATTTTGCTGGTCAACAGTTCTCATAAGTGATCCTGGCATGTGAACAGTTATCTCTTTGAGGGTTCTGTGGAAGAGCAAGAGCAAAATGCAAAACAGGTCATTTCAGCTAAGTCTCTAATAACAACCACTGCTCAACTATCTTTACCTACTTTACTATAAGTAAGTTAAAAGCAGCATTTCCATGCAAATCCCCATTTAGGAAACCAACATTTACTCAACAGATAAGAAAACACATACCGATAAATTAAAAACCTTATGGAAAACACCATGCTGATAAACAACAAGCACCTCATTTAAGTAATCCACACTCCCCAAGGTACCTGTTGCTAATATTCAGTCTTACTGGTAATAACTGGGCTACAGATATTGGCATGCCATGCACTAGGCAATTTACTATTGCAGGATCAAGAATTGCAACCATATCGAGAGAAGTACTTAAGTGGCTTAATACTGACAAACAGAAGATTTAGGAATTTCAGCATTTTGGAGTGTCTGAACCTCGGTCCACATGGTATTGCAAAGCCTGTCGTGAAAGACCTAGTGATATTTATGACACAGTGCAGCAGAGGTCTTGAACATTCACAGCTGGGAATGGCAAACAGCCATCAGAAAAAGAAGTTTCATCTCAACGTTATCATCTCCTTTACTACAGGACAAAGCATTTTGAAATGTAAAATGGGCACCATTCCACATTACCTTTAATGGGAGTTTTAGGATTTCCATTAACCTAAAAACACATGCAGGATTTAGGTCCATTCCCAATGTAAAAGGCTAGAAAACTGCGAATTATTACCAGTTATGATGATGATTCTGCAATCAAAGCATTAGCTAATGGTTTAATTCAGGTAATGAATTACATTATAAATTAAAAATAATAATAAAAATCTACTGATGTTCCTACCAACCAATATCCGTTTAAAAAAAAAAAAAAAACACAACCACAGTTTCTACATTCCTGCAACTCAAATTTCTGAAGAGGATAAGTGGTTCAAGTCTGTTAATTCAGGCTTTATTGTAGTATTTGGAATCTAAATATGAAAAGAGGAAAGACTTAAGACTGTTTGAAGCAGAAGAATATGTGCCTCTTGGAAAGGAAAAAAAAAATCACTGTTCACAGACATCACTTTGAATCAAATGTTAAAAGGAGAAAAAGATAAGCAACTGGAAAACAGGAAACCCATATTTCTTGCACCTAGAACAAGTGTCAAACTGTGAACAAAAAGTAAAATAAAACCATGCAAAATTATTTCACTAAACAGTTTGCAAGTTATGTAGAGAAGAACAGCTAAGATTTTTTCAGCTAAATGTCAAAAAACAGACTCCTTGCTGGAAGTTAACAGTTTCACAGAAGGACATTTTTTCAAGATAAAATCTTAAGAAAATTCACCCTACAACAGTTGGTAGCTCAGTGGTCCCTGGAAAGTTGGATCCTTCAGCATGTCTGTCTTGAAAAGGTTTTAAGAAGCATTTCCCCAGTTCCAGATAACACACTTTTATACCATTCTGCTCTTCTAAACATGTCAAATGGAAGCTGCTCCCCTTTCTACAAGTAATTACGTGTTCATCAGAAATCCATGAGTGGTTAGACCACTCATTTCACTGCCAATGTAGTCCAATGAAATTTCCACAATATAATTATTTATGGAGAGCTCCAGGAGATCAGAAAAAAAAATAATCATGCAAGAGCTGTCAAAATACTGGAAGTGAAGACTTTCACCTGCAGCATTAAAAAAATAGGTGAGAAAAACTCAATCATACTTGCACATAGAAACACAGGCAATTCAAATTTCCCATAATTACCGGACTATTATTTATCTAGGGTAAACTACTTTGGGTTTAAATACATATATACACACAAAATATTTCTTTATTTTATCTAGCAAATTTGAAATGTTTCTGAAATCCAAGTTCTATAGAAATGAAAAAGAGACATTGCTGCACACTGCTCTAGGGGGAAAATACAGAAATAAGTCTTTGTTACCCAACAATAAGAAAATACTAAAAGTCATATTCCTAAAAACAAAACAAAACCACCTTTTACTGGTTTTCTTTATGATATCTTCATTTCTTTACCTCGCAGAACACTGTAATTTCATAACTGTCGAATTGAACAAAGAGGCAGATTTTTCCCATCGGCATGAGCTGGTTTTCCTCAGACATTGATTTCTTCTGTTTTATTAAATCATTACAGCTTCACAAGCAATAAGTGTTCAGAGTCTTTTTGCAAGTTTATTTTTTGGAGTTTCTTGGAAAGATGGAGAGATCTAAGACCAGGAAACTAACCTCAAAATCAGCAGGCTTACAATTTACTACTACTAGAAACTCAATAGGATCAACATAGGACTAAGACTATGCTAAAGTTTTGTCTTCTAGCTATTCTGCTCTTAAACCTTTATTTATTAGTAGGACTCATGAGACAGAAGGAAGGAGGACATACAAATAAGAAGCCACAAAATAAGGTTGAAATTAAAGTTTAGTTTTGGTTGAATGCCTGACACAATGGTAGTGCAATGATGAAATAAATGTTAAAATTCACATTTTTAGGCCACTAGACAATGTCAGAGGAATGAGGATCTACAAACATTTTATGTATCATAACAGAACAAATACATCCACCTAGTACTGATATGCAAATCCCTGCTTTGCATACAAAACTGTGGTAAGCGTTAAGATGTTTGGTAGGAGAGAAGATAATTGCAAGGGACAGTGCAGACTGATCATCTCTCTAATGCTTTTCCCAAAGTCGTAGCCCCATCATGCTTCACATCTTTCACATCTTGACCGACATTGTCAGTCCACAATTGCTAAGGCCAAACACTGGATTTTCAACCACACCACAGTACTCAACGCCAACCCAGGACCACCTATGGCGACATCATATTCTCCTTGTAGGAGAAAACATAACTCCAGTACGTAACAATAGTGGGGGTAGAAAGAGTGAGTCATGCCTTTTTCTTTTTTCCTAATTATTACTAATCATGGGAATTCCTGTCAACGAGGAGGTGATTTGTAGTCACCTAACCTACTTTTACTGGTGATTTAAGCAGCCCTCTGAAATGAGCATGTTGCACCACTTAATCAACTCGGGCTGTGCAAGCAGAAGATCCTATTAGAAACCTTCACCTTCCACTACTGGCAATAAAATGCAGGGAGTTGTAAGAAGGCCAATTAATTTTAAATATGACCATTTGGGTTTATCCTTCAATGGATGTTCAGAAAGCATCTAATCACCATAAATCTTCAGGAACACTGAAGAACTATTTATAACATACTGGTGTGTATTTTTATGTCAATGAAATAGGAGGAGAGTCCTACACACTGCAGTGGGAACGGTTAAGTCTGAATCACCGCTTGCAAGATAATATATTTTAAAGAAGCTCAGGCAGGATTAAAAGCAACCCCTGCAAAAAAGCCAGAATAGTTCAGCGTTCAGTGGAGACGTTGCATGTGGGCTGCAGAAGTGATGCCAGGCCCTAACCCTGCGAACAGGAACATAAGACAGCTCTCCCATGCATTGCATGCCAACATATGGGTTGAACTGCAGCACAGCTCCCAGCAAAAGACTTTGGGCTCCATTATCCCCTCGTCTCCATAGGCAACTGTCACTGCAGAGATCTCCACTGTATGTAAACAGTCAAATCCTGCACAGGCTCTCTGTACATTGCAAATTTCGCCATCAAGAGTCATGCTGCCAAGCAGGAACATTAGCAAACAAGTCTGTACAAAGGTTTTGACACAAAAACTACAGTTTAAATGTTAAGTGCAGCTATTGCCACTGCTATGAGATCAGTCCCAGGATACATAAACTACGTGAAACTACATTACATCAGTTCCTACAGCTACATCTAAAAAAAGGGGGGAAGGAGGAAGTAGTTGCTACAGATATTTTTTTTTTAAAGAACTATATGTGAAAGACTTGGTGCTTTTTCTAAATTCTTGCTGGCTGCTTATGATTGCTATCTTTTAATTTAAAAAAAAAAAAAGATTCTATGAAGCATGTTCTTTGTTTAATTCTACAACAGAGGACCCCTGCTACATGTGAAATTCTTGTTGGGTACTCAGAACAACTAGGTAGGGCATTTCTGAAAACAAATGTGGAATTCAAACACTTGTGCTACATTCTTTATCCAAAGATAAATATAACAAATGTGACAGCACACAGTAACTTTTATATTCATCCATCAGCATGTCTGAACCCTGTAAATAAAAAAACATACCTCCAGAAATGAGGAGACTACTCTGTTTCTTTGCCTGTTCAGCAGATACTCTCTGCTGAGGCAGCCAACAAGGCTGACACTCATGCCAGTTCCCATGATGTGGACACCTGTCTGCTAAGGACTGGACCAAGAATATCAGCTAATTTTATGCAGGTCACTAAACAACAGACAGATGGTAATGACTTCAAGCATTACAAACCTGGGCCAAATTCAGATCAGGCAACTACAGGTATATAACACCATATCCTGTTAACAAGCCTTTGAGTCATCTGCGCTCACCAGCTGAGGAAAACTGGACAAGTGCCTGAGGAAAAAAATGATCACCTTCACTTTACACTGCTCACGTCCAGTCCCTTTGCAACCTTAAAAAAATATATTACAGAATCTATTATGCTGAGCAATGGGACCTTGAAAGTATGCATGAGTTTTTTTTAATAAGAGCAGATAATCATGAAGATATAGTTCTATTCTAAAAAAAAAAAAAAAAAAAAAAAAAAAAAAAAAGATGTCTTTGCTCTTCAAATTTATCCTGCATGTATTTCTTGACTACACTCACTCATTTTGCCTTGACAGGAAATGAAACTCTTCAGTAACAATGTTCATATGCTGAACATTACACAGCCTACTAGGGGCAGAGAGGCTGTCCCATACTTTACTTAGGGGATAGCCAACATATGTAATTTCACCAGGTATTCAGCTGCACTTTCACAAACACAAGATCATGAGAAAGAGTAAGAAAAGAGGAAGGAAAGAAAAAGGAAAACTGAACTAATGTGGTTCTGTTCCTTCTACTCATGAGCCAGCATGCCAGCAACTCGTGAACAGAAAGGTGGAGAGCTATCACCACTTCACTAGCTGATAGTAAGACTTGCACTTTGTGCCAGACTGCACCTCACACAAATAAACAGATTCAAGAGCAGAGATTTCTCCAGTCTTCACTGACTTATGGGCAATCACACCACAAGGAGATAGGAACATGCTGAGGGCAACACTGTCAGCCTCAGAAGGGGCTTTTAAGACCTAACATCAGTGGGTTTCTCAGTCAACCTAAGAGCCTTGAGCAGCAGGCAAGCCATAAAACACCTTCTTTCTTTGGTCTGAACAAAAAGCAAGTTGCCCAAGATTAAAGGCATGCCTAGCAGAAAAATTTATTAGAATTAGCAAATACATGGGAATACGGAGTGATGCTCTTCCCTCTCACTTCAGTCATCTCATTTCTTCTTGCTTTGCTAAGTACAGGCTTAAGTGAGTTATCATGTCATGAAAGTTTTAAAAGATATCATAACATTGCAAAGTTATGACCTTTTAATAAAATATATATATATATATAACAAAATGTGATCCTTCCCCTCTACTCAGCACTGGTGAGACCACACCTTGAGCACTACGTCCAGTTATGGGTTCCCCAGAGAGACGTGGACATACTGTGGAGAGAGTCCAGCAGAGGTCCATCAGGATGCTGAGGGGACTGCAGCCTCTCTGTGTAAGGAGAGGCTGGGAGCTGGGACTGCTCAGCCTGGGGAAGGGGAGGCTCAGGGGATTTCATCACTGTGTGTAAATACCTGAAGGGTGGGTGCAAAGAGGAGGGAGCCAGGTTCTTTTCAGTGGTGCCCAGTGCCAGGACAAGAGGCAGTGGGCACAAACTGTAACACCAGCAGTTCCCTCTGAATATCAGGAAGCACTTCTGTGCTGTGAGGGTGACCAACCGCAGGTTGTACTGAGAGGTTGGGGAGTGTCCCTTCTCGAAGATCCTTAAAAGCTGCCTGGACATTATCCTGGGCACCCTGCCTGAGCAGAGAGATGGAACCAGATGGCCTCCAGTGGTCCCTTCCATCCTTAACCATTCAGTGGTTCTTTAATCCAGCACGGGTTTTAATCAGGTCTGTCAGGCCCTTCTATCAGGAATTCCTCAGGTAAAGCCTAAAACCATAGAAGTGTTAAAATGGCAAATCAGATTCAGGCCTTTTATGTCAAGTGAATAATGCTCCTGTCAAAATGTCATCTGGAGTTCTACAACCATTTTGAAACTAATCACCCGTGGAAAAGTAATGGATTTTTGGAGAAAATCAAGGTTTTGCAATTTTCTAGAGTTTGCCTTCGTTGTGTGTCATATGTAAACTTTTAAAAAGCAGATGAAAACTGGAGTCAGGGCGTAAGTTGAAATGATCTTCAAAGTTTTACAGCTCAATAAAAATAGCACTTGGGTAACACCTGAAGTTTTACAGCAGATAATGCTTTTCATTAATCACAGGTGACTTCTGTAAACACCCTAAGCTTATGATCTGATAGATTACCCAGTGGTTTTGATTGGAAAATCCACATCTTACAAACTGTATCCTGATATTCAGGATAATGGCAAAATGGCACACAGAGAGTACGGAATGTAACTGACTTAAATTCCACTACACCATTTTAAAACTACACAGCATTACTTTTTTCTTTAGTCCCTAAATACTTTCCCACCACTGAAATTCAAAGCTGCTATGCATTTAATGTCTTCCTGAGAGCACTTGAGGTTTGTTTGTTTGTTTGTTTTTCCCCCCTACACAAAACTGCCTGTTCTGCTTTGCTTAATTAAACTTCTGGCCAAAGTCTCTTTCCTTCTCTCTTGCTCCTGTTAAGGGTTTAGATTCCCATCCCTCAAAGTCGAGGGGAGCTACCACTTAAAGAGTCATGAATAACTTTCTTCATGAACTCTTCTGGTTTTATTTATTACGCTAGCAAACCTTGCAATTATTAGTAAGTAACAGCAACTTTTTTTTTTACCTGTTTCATAAAGCAACTTTGTAATGCACAATGTCCATCAAGTGACATGGAGAACTTAGTTCTTCTGTTTACCCTCAACATACGCTATGTTCCTGCATAAGATGTACCAGGGCAAGCTTCCATGTACTCCACTGATGTTGAAAACTCTCCTGAGGGACCGTAACTACATTTGTAAGCACACTCAGGTGATTTCACTTCTCCTTTATAGCTACCAACAATTGTGCTAATTAGTCATTTGTATCCAGTTTTAGGAAACCTCTAAAATCTAATGTTTCCTCCTTTGCTCTGCATGCAAAAATCTTCATGAATTGTTATTTGTGGAATATAACTCTGAAATATGCAGGCAAAATTCAGAATTTGGCTAGCTCCCCAAGTCTGATTTTAAACATCACTTTTGCCAGAATTAGAAATGTTTTCATCGATTTGTAGTTTAAAATCAGCATCGGTCAAACCTCTGTGAGGCCTTTTGTTCTTAAAATAAAACTTTCGTTTCATTTTGAGCCACGTGCAATCTAGATGGTGAATCAGCTTCAAGAATAAAACAAAAATAAATATTCTGCTGCTCATCAGAAAGTGACACAGCTTTAGCATTACTGAAGCACACTATACTTTCCATCTCTAAATATTCCCACCCCCTATGACATTTGTTTGCTACGCTCTATAATAATGAGTGACCCATTTCCAATATGTGAGTCCCATTTGGCATAAAGATTTATCAGCAAAACCCAAGAAATATAGGGAAAACTGAATTTGGATGGTATACATTTTAATAATTAATCCACACATCTCGTTGAGTTATGTCAAAAGGTCGGATCTGACCACTTAGAGAACTTTACATTTATGTTGGTTTCAGTTTTTAGTTAAAAGCTGTTCTTGTCAAATCAGGTGAAGATAACTCACTGCAATGAGCTAGGGTGCTAGGCATTGTTTAAAAAATTGAAGTATTTTTTTCCATGTGTTACTTAGAAGTTCAAAACTCAAAGATGGATGGTTTAGATATTGTAAGGAAGAAGCAAGAAACAATAAAATATCAATTTTGTCAAATATACAGCCAGAAGTGCCTTCCTCAGGATGAAATCTGAAGGTTTTATCTCCCTGTGCCATCTACTTCAATACTGCAGTTATGAAAGTTCAAGGAGATACAAGGAACTTTTCCTTCTTGATAGCATTTTGCTGAAAGACTACTTTTGCAAAATATCCTGCAAAGGACAACTGTATCGAAATAAAAATCAGCATAAACTATATGTCACATCACATATTTAGTAGTTGTTTAATTTTGGAAATCTGATAATGCTCATAAAGCATCTTTGCAAGATGACTAATTAGTTGGCATTCAACCTAAAATGATACCAAACATAGCACATCTCTTGTACGCATGCAGAAGTGTCTGTAACCTCTCTGCAGAGACTGAAATGGAAAAGGCTACCTGTTCTCAATGACTCCTCGGGGTGCTCCAGTAAATTTAGCTTTATTCTCGCATAACGTTTAAACTGAGCTATGGAAGGCCTCATTTATTCGATACACCCAAAATAATACAGAAGTGATCAATGATGCCTGCTGTTGTCCTTTAATGATCAAGATCATGCATGTGAGCCCAGTACATGGCATGTGTTGGCATACATGTCAGTGTGGATGCATCACGTGTACGAAGAAGGTACTTTCAGGGGAGGAAGAAAGTATTTCGCAACATAAACCTACGCAAGGATCTCATTCAATTCCGTATAGGAAGAGGCAGCCCATAAGATGTTCTTGCTGGCTTACTGCATCATGAGACGGGCTGTAACATCTCTCTTTTCTAAAAAAAACTTTTAAATTTGTATTTTTATATTGGCATGCCAGATAATGGAATGAATTCCATCCCGATCCCAGTTATTTTCGGTCCCGAGCCCCTACAGGCAACCAGCACGCCCCACGACCGACCGGCGAGCCCGGCTGCTTGCTCAGCAGCACCGAGCTGCGCCGGACCAGCCGGGGGCACCGCGGGGGAGCGGGACCCCGCGTCCACACGGCGGGTGCGGGCAGACCCGGCGCTCCGCTTCTGACTCCTACCCCCAGTTAACTACTAAACCGGAGCTGGACCCGGAGCAGCCGAGCGCTGCTCGTCCCCAACTCGCTGAAGGGAGGGCGCCCACCCCCGACCTGACCCCGCAGCGCGGTACCCAGCCCCGGACCCGCTTCTGCTCGGACCCCATCCGCGACACTTAAAGGGGGGACAAAATCCGCCGGCCCCGGGCTGCGGGGCAGCTTCTCCCTTCCCTGCCAAGCCCACACACGCCGGCTCCCCGGTTTCGCTCCGGCACGACGGCAGCACCCCGAGCACCGGGCCCTTCTCCCCTCCGCTCCCCGGGGGGCTCAGCGCTGCCCCCCGCACCCCCCGCCCGCGGGCACGGCGGCCGTACCCCCGAATCCCGGGCGCAGCCGGTTGTCATAGCCATCCAGGAGGCTGTTCAGGATGCTGGTGAAATTCTCCGGCCACAATTTCTCCTCTTTTTTGCTCTGTCCCGGCGGCCCGCTGAGACTACGAGGCAAAGAGGGAGAGCGGGTGAGAGAGGAGCCGCCGGGAGCCGGCTCGGTGGCACCGGGCGGGGGTCGCCCCGCCGCCGGGGGGTACTCACCACGTCGCCAGGCACAGGCAGTGCAGGAGGGCGATGGAGAGACCCGAGGACATGGCGATGGCTGGCTCCTTGGCAGAAACCATCTTTGCATGCCATACTTCACGCCTGGCCACGTTAAACGCCTTGCTCCGGGGCGGGGGGACGGGGACGGCGGCGGCAGCCCCCCGGCGGCCCTACATGCGCGGCTCCCCCCCGGTTGCCAGGCGGCGGCGGTGGCGGCGGCGGGCAGGGGCGGAGGAGAGGCGACTTTCCCCGCGCCGTTAACTCCCTCGGGGCAACAGGCGCCGGGCCCCGCCGCTCCCGCCTCCGCCCCGCTCTGCCCCGCCTCGCTCTTCCCACCCGGGGCCGCCTCGGCACCCTCCGGGCGGCCGGCGAGGCGAGGCGAGGCGAGGCGAGGAGTCCGCCCGGTAGCGGCCTCCCCGGGGAGGGAGGAGCCGGGCCGAGCCGCGGGGGGAGGCGGATCTCGGCCCCGGGCGCCCTGAGGGGGCCGGTGAGCCCCGAACTGAGCCCCGGGTACCGAGCTGGGTGTCTGTGAGGGGAAGGTTTCTCTCCCCTCCGTGCTCTGCTCATGACCGAGGGTTGAAGTCTTTGCTGTCCCGATCCTCTTTTCTCCCTGAGGGGGAAGTAAAACCAAAAGCAGGAGGGAAAGAGAGCATTTGCCCTGCGAGGAGGGCTTGGGAGCAGGAGGGTCCCTCCACACCAGCTCCAGCTCTGGGATGAGGAAAGAGCTGTGACTGCAGGGTTAAAACACCCGAAATGGATGGGAGTGAGTGGGTTATCCCGGCTTTCTGGAAGCAAAAAATGCTAGAATAGAGGAATGGCTTCGCATTGTAATTTTTTTTTTCTTTCCTATAATTAGGAAGCCAGGTTTGGTGACCCAAATAATTTCCATTATACAAGGTCCAAGGGATTCTTGCATAATTTGCTGTAAAACCCACTGCAAAGTGTTGCTTTTCTGTCAGAGACCAGTTGGGATGGTTGGGGCTCTGAGGGAGAGGGAAGAGAAGGGTACAGGCTGTTTTTCCCCCAATACAACAGGTACCGAAAATAAACAACTTGTCCTTCTGATCAGGTGTGTTGCAGAGTTGTTTAGGTTTGGTAATCAGTATGCGTGTCAACTTTAATGAAGCTGGTGAAGTTCATCGTGCAGGAGCACATGGAGCAGGTATTGTAATTGACTTCAAGACTACAGCCCTGCCTACGCTGACATGAAAAAGCCTTATTCATTATGCTACACTATCTTCAAGCACTGAAACGCCTGATTATCTTCAAAACTACTGGACACTTGAAGTCTTCCTGATTGTACTTCAGAGCTTTTTCCAGCTAGGGTGCCCTTTGCTGATTCCTTTGAAAAACAATTAAAGCTGTGCTTCAAATACATTTAGCTTGCTGATGCTGTTTATCTTTCAAAAAAAAAAAAAAAAAAAGAAAACAACAACAACAAAACCTCTGTCTAGGCAGTCAGCTCTGCTTCCAATTTTAAAAGCCCCATTTAGGCCTCTGCAGATTACTACTACTCTATTCTCTCTAATATTTTGTCAGATGAAATGCAGGCATTACCCATCAGCAATCTCCTCCCAGGTACGACCACTCTGTTTTGCATCTTCCTTAGTAAAGAAAAGGCACTGGGCACTAAGGTGGTCTTATCACAATAGAAAGTACCGATTATTTTGGCTCACAGCTTTATCCCCTCTGAATTCACCATGCCTTCAAGACAGACTGAAAAAGAGGGCTGAATGACTACTTCAGCCATAGCACTGTGATATTTAAGCCAAGTCCTGACCAAAGCCAGGCTCAAGGAATTCATTGGCTTTCAGCTACTCCAGCCTTTCCTTCTCTATTTAAATCTGTTGTTTTGTTTTGTTTGTTTATTTGTTTGTTTTTTTCTCAAAGTCCTGCTAGATCCTCATCCCCTTACTGCCTTCCTGCAACAATGAATCCTCTGTGGAGCCTAACATAGAGGGCAGCCTGCCTACAGACAACACACGTGCTCCATGCAGTACTTACAAGCTTAGACAACTCAGACAGTAGGATGTCCAAGGTCATTTAGCTCTCTTGATGATGCTGTGGGAGCAACCTGTTTAACTCCAAACACAGGTGGGAACCAATGTGCCCGCAAGAGCCCACTGCCCTGGCTCCATTTGCAATCTGGTCAGGAACAACAGCGGGATAGATCAGCAGCTCTTCATGAGTCTAATTTCCCCACATCAGATAAATTTGCCTGAGTTAATCGGACACTTTTTATCTATAAACAGATGTAATTTTTTTTTCTGGACTAGTCCTTGTCCCGTGCTATTGCATGGACTATGCCAAGGGAATACTTGCAACTGGCCTTCAGTAAAGAGGATTTCTAGTTTTACTGTCCCTTGCAAAAAAAAAAGTCATCCCTTGCTGCAGAACAATGATATTATCTGATCTAGGAATATCTCAAAAATTTTTGCTGGCAGAAGCCAAACCCACAAATTTAAATGGAGAGCAATAGATGGCAATTCAGAAATGGGAAGAATTCTGCTGGCTGGTCACAGATACAGAACAAAACCCAGCTCTACAGCACTGCCTCTTCTAGCAGCTGCTGTGGATGGAAGCCAGCAACATCCTGGCAGAGCAGGGGACACCCTTGGGTTTAGATTGTTTTATTACCTTCTGCATATGTACAGACACCTGTGTGAACTGAAATAGCAAAATTGAGCAGTATTCACCAGTAATAATCTCTCCATGTGAATGTCCTGAGAAATGTTACCAGTCACCCCCTCTCAGATCCATGCCTGGAGTCATAGGGAATGTGGATGCGGCAGATCTGATAGTACCGCTACAGGTAGAGATCAAAGAAACTCAGTTATTCCCCTCCCAGTGATTTTAGGAACTGATCTGTTCTTTGCATGATTCCCAGATTCTTTATAACAAAAGAATAATAATAATGGTATCTTCTATCTTCTCAGTAAAGGTAACAGGTTGAAAGATCTGTGGACGTACCATGTCAGGGCACCAGGAAATAAGTATTCATGGCTTCTAAGAAGATACTCAGACTGTTTTTGATAAGGAAAGGTAGACATAGTACCATTCCATCACATCCTGCCTGCCACAGGTTATACTGATGTAGGATCAGGTGCTATTTGGCTGCATTTACTCCCTACAAGTCCTAAAACTAAATGAGAGATTACTTTCTCCAGAACTAGAAAATGAGTTCAAACACTTCTTAAAGGTATCAGCAGTTCGTATCTTCCTTAGATCCCGCACTATCAAAAATTCACTCGGATTAATACTGAAAACAGAGACTGCTGTCTGCGATCTCTGAATGAGTGCATCATTTGTATGTTGCTGAAACTTTTACAAAACTAGGCTTGAAGGGAACATACAACAGTTCAGAAAAACATTAACCAGTCCTGCAAGCCAGATATATTACTTTTGAGTACTTGCTTCTGCTTTTTGGTATATCCATTGCCCTGGCTACTTTTCAACATTTTTGAACTAAATCTTGAGAGAATTCCAGATTCTTTTGTATGTCTTTGTAGCATAGATACATACAAAACCTCCCAGGGTGAGTATTTGTCACCAGCAGATATACACTGATTTTAAAAATACTACTTCAAATGGTCTTTGATCACTTCAAAGAATTTCTAGGTTATATCATCTCTAAAAGAACTTGATGACTCGAAGAAGGTTTTAGTGGTCACAGTCTGGATTGATGGTCCCTAAATATGTTTTCTGAATTCAGCATTTTCTCAGCTTCTCCAGTTTTTACCACCAATTCTTCCAAGATTTCTCCCAAGATATCTCACCCATCATGGACTATTGTAAGAAGGGGACTATTTTTGCCTGGCACCATATGCTCAGAAAGCACTTGAATAACTTAAATAGACTTTTTTTTTTTTTTTTTTTTTTTTTTTTTTTACTGCCCCTAAGCTGATGTACCCCCCCCTAATTCTTTTTGATGAAGCAGATATTCTGGCCATGCTTCAAAAGCAGTTTTATCCAAAGCTATGGATTTTTTATTTATCACAACACACAGAGAAGCAGGAAAAAAAAAATCATCACTCTTCCCATTTCTACTTTACTATCAGATTAAGTAGAAACAAAAATAAAGTTGGTACTTTTCCTGTGGAAACATTATCTAGCCTTTCAGTTTTTTTTGTTGTTGTTTTGTTTGTTTGGTCTGTTTTTTTGTAAACCATAGGCTTCAGCAATATTGCAGGTTCTACAGGTAAATTTTAGTTTGTAACCTTTTTCCTGGGAGATTTCATTACTCTGCAGATTTTGACATGATTTAGTCCTGGCATCAAATCCATAAAGACAGCCAAGCTTATTTGGAAAAGACTAGGAAAATCTTTAATGCTCAACTATAAATTACATAGTTAAAAGCCTCTAACACTTAGGAAAGAGAGGAGCTAAAACTGGGGTCACTGCCAAGCACCTACATGTTTCTTTATCTGAAAAGCTAAGTCAATGATTTCATAGATTTTGTATTTTTTTTTTCAGTTTCTGCCCATATCACTACAGTTTCTTACAGTCCTGGTCAAACTGCTGGTCTTCCCATGCATCCTTTTTAAAGCTTACTGGTAGAAAATCCATTCCTTGGACAATTTATACCCTAATTCCATTTTTGGTAGATGACCAAGAAAAGATACGGGTACCTTTTCAGTATGGATAACTAGAGGATTCCTTTCTTACATCTCCTCAAGGGTGCAAG